GTTGATTATTCCATCTTTCTCTTTCCTTCCCCATTTGAGGAATGCTTTCTGCAAATAAACCAAGAACTGGTTTATTTCAAAGTCCTTTAAAATAAACACAAACATTCTTATTTGTTTGTTTATTTAATAATTTCTGTTTTGCAGACACTGTAACAAAAAATGAAGAATTCTCATTCTCTTTAAACCAGTGGTTCTCAACCTGTGGGTCCCCAGGCATTTTGGCCTACAACTCTCAGAAATCTCAGCCAATTTACAAGCTGTCAAGATTTCTGGGAGTTGAAGGCCAAAACATCTGGGGACCCACAGGTTGAGAACCACTGCTTTAAACCCACCCAGCCTTCCCCAACCAGATGTCTTCCAGATGTCCAGACTGTAATTCTCACAACATATTTGGTTTGGGGATTATGGGGTAAAACGTATCAAGTATGTTATTCAACATTGGCTGTGGAGTTGGGAAAATATGCTTTCATTCCACCTCCAAGGAAGGAAGTGGTGCCTCCTCCACTATAGTGCTTTAAAAATGGCGTCAAAATAGTATCAGTTGGCATTGGCATTTTTCCGAAGTTACCATTTTTCCACCCCAGGTTTCAAGATAAGCTAATGGATAGAAAGCTACAGGCATGGAGCATCTCCCCAGTCGGTACCCTCCAGCATGTGCCAAGGTATAAACTTTTCCACTGTCCCCTCCCCTTTGGAGTAATTTTCCTATGGAATCCCGTGGCACTCGCTCATAAATCTTCCAAGATGGTTTGAGAAAGAGACGCCTCTCTTTCCTGTGAGGTTGGCCTGTAAGAGCAAGGGTGTCATTAAAATTAATTAGGAGCTGACTAATGCTAATAACTCTGGCCATTGTTAAAATAATGATACCCGGAGGTTTAGGTGCCACACACTCTGTGAAGGAGGCAGTGTTCTTTCAGTTGAGCCTACTCACCTCCACCTTTCGGACAGCTCAATTGCTATTCCTTTATATTCCTTCTTCCCAACAGCCACGGCTCTGTACCTGATATATTTCCTTTGGACGTTTTTCCTTTCATACTTTGCCATCCCTTGAGGGTGTAACGGGTTGAAAGAGAGTGGGAAAAGCTTGGAGAGAGATGAATCACGTGGACCTCATCTTTGAGAAGGTAAGTCTGGGACGACAAAGATGCTCTGGGAAGAGCAATAAAATAAGTAAATGTTATTTGGGAGACAGCTTAGTTTTGTTTCAATAACTGTAGTGAGGACTGAAAGACTGTACTTATCTTTTAGTTGATCTATTTAAAACAGTGGTTCCCAACTTTTTTTTTGACCAGGGATCACTTGACCAAAGACCACTTTGACCAGGGACCACTCTCTAAAATTATTACCATAAGGGTTACAAATCAGTTTTTGGTCAACTTTAGATGGGTTTGTTTATTTGGGATGCTGATTCAGAAAATTGCATTGACTAGCCCACATCAGCTCTAGTTTCTGATAAAGAACATATGTCATCCAGTAATCGCCATCTGCTTACCCATAGAAAACCATATTTAATAAGCCTTGGGACATAAGAGGGTTTCGCGAGACCAGTCATTCTCATTGCAATGGTTTAGTAATGGTGAGGCTGTGGACCATATTTTTGTTCTTGCGGGCCAGTGGTGGTCCATGGACCACAGGTTGGGAAGCACTGATTTAAAACATTTCACTGCCTCCCTTAGACAGTGTAAGACAGTGCATAGTAGAATTGAATTAATTATGTAAATGCAGAATACAGTACAGTGATACCAATAACTACAGGTAGTCAACATTTCAAGTATCATTTTAGTGATAAAGGCAAATCAAGATAAATTAAAATGCCTGGAGGAAAAAAACACATTTGAATTCAAAATATTGTAAAATTGTTGTCAGGTGCCATCACTTGGAGAGGGTAATGATAGAAATCAACTTAACAATTAGTGTTTGTCCCTGGTTGAGCCTTTCCCACCTTTCCCAGTTCTAAATTCTTTTAATAATGTCTGTACTTCTATAGAACTTTCTGGGGTGAAAGACTAATGGATGCTATTTTGGAGTGAGGCCAGAATGGATTCAAATTACAATAAGATATTCCGCCTAAATATTAGGAAAACATCCTGATGCTAAGAGCTGTTTGACAGTGGAATATGATGCCTGGGAGTGTGGTGGAGCCTCCTTCTCTGGGGAGTTTTTAAAAAGAGGCTGGATGGCCATCTGTCAGGAGTGCTTTGATTGTGCATTCCTGCATGATAAAATGAGGATGGACTCAATGGCTCCTGGGGTCTCTCTCAATGCTATGATTCTAAGACTTGGGTTCAAATCCCTGCCTCGTGATTGGAGGTAGTCAAACATATCAGGGGGGCTGGTATATAAACTTACTCAGGAGTAAGCCCGACTGAATGAAATGTGGCACATTTGTGGGTAGATATGCACGGAATTGAGCCCCTAGTGGTGTAGTAGGTTAAAGTGCTAAGCTGCTGAATGAAAGGTAGGTAGTTTGAATCCAGGGAGTGGAGTGAGTTCCCTGTGTTAGCCCCAGCTTCTGCTAATGTGGCAGTTCAAAAACATGCAAATGTGAGATCAATGGGTACCACTTTGGTGGGAAGGTCATGGCACTCCATACAATCATGCCAGCCACATGACCTTGGAGGTATCTACGGACAATGCCGGCTCTTCGGCTTAGAAATGGAGATGAGCACTTCCCCCAACTAGACTTAATGTCAAGGGGAAACCTTTATTTTACCTTAATGCACTGAATTGCACTCTAAGGGATGGTGTTTTCTGAAAGCACAAATAATACTTATGCAGAAGCACTGATCCATGGCCGACAGGGAGCTCTGGCGTGGGCTGATCCATGTGGTCACAAAGAGTTGGAAGTCACTGAACGAATAAACAACATGCAGAAGTAGGCACCACTGCATTGAATGAGTATGTATATTACTCTATGTATAGCAATGAAGAGAGCAGAGAAAATGGTTTAAGCATTGGATTATGACTCTGACAGCAAGGATGAAAATCCCTGTTTCGCCATGGAAATTCACTTAGTGACCTTGGCTGAGTCACACTCTCTCAACCCAAGACAACCCTGTGATAGTTTCACCTTAGGGTAACCATAAGTCACAAATGAGTCTGAGTGTGATGGCAATGGCCAATCACAGCTTCCCAAAGTGTGAGGCATATAGAGGAGGAAGATTATGTATGTTGGAAAAAAAAAAGACAAAATAAAAATATATTATGAAGTATGATAATCAGAATTGGAAGTTCCAAATAGGTAATATGATATTTTCTGTTGGGGCAAGCATTTGAATTGATAAAATGTGAATAAATGGTTTCAGAAAGAAAGAAAATAAAAGGATCTTTGAGAGACCATTCCATCAGGCTGTTTCCAGCCTCATGAGAACTATAGCTTCAAGAACTTGTACCAAATATTACATTTCTCTCTTCCTTCCCCATTCCCTTTTGTATCATGCCTTACAAATAACAGCACTGAGGGCAGTGACAGCCTTACTGCTGTTTTATAAAGTGATCTCTAAACCAAAACCACAATGAAACATAGGAGTATCCCAGAAATATTCATCAAAATTGCATTTCAAAGGTGTGCATAGTCAAACTGATAGAAGATGTAGCTTGTTTCCAGTTGATTATTTTGTGTCCCACAATTGGGTCATAACCTAGTTCAAATGGGAGGCACTATTAATATTACCTGCTATTTATTGCTGTCAAATCAGTTTCAACTTATGACAACCCTCTGAATGAGAGGAGCCCCTGGTGGCGCAGTGGGCTGGATTTTAAGTGGATTAAGCAACCACTGGGCTGCTGAACTTGCTGACTGAAAGGTTGGTGGTTTGAATCTGGGGAGTGGGGTGAGTTCCTGCTGTTAGCCCCAGCTTCTGCCAACCTAGCAGTTAGAAAACATGCAAATGTAAGTAGATCATTAGGTACTGCTCTCATGGGAAGGTAATGGTGCTCAATAGAGTCATGCTGGCCACATAACCTTGGAGGTGTCTACAGACAATGCCGGCTCTTCAGCTTAGAAATGGAGATGAGCACCACCCCCTAGAGTTGGACACAACTAGGCTTAACATCAAGGGGAAACCTTTACTTTTTACTTACAAATGAGAAGCCCCCAAGATACATTATCCCGCAAACTCCAGACAATCATGCCTTCTGGAGGGGCCAAGTTTGCCAATGCCAGTCCTGGACCCATTAGAAAAGACCTCTGAGGGCTTAAGTGGTGGAGGGGAAAATGGAAGGGGCCTGAGGCTGTTAGGAATGGTGGGAGTCGAGTCCAAAACACCTGGAGGGAGGGGACAAGTTTGCCCATGCCAGTCCTGGAACCATTGGAAGAGACCACTCAGGACTTAAGCGGCTGAGGGGGAAACAGAAGAGGCCTGGGGCTGCTAGGAATGGTGGGAGTTGGAGTCCAAAACATCTGGAGGGCTGCCAACATAGTTCCCTGCCTCACAGAAGCATGTTGTCCCACTACCATGGAGTGATAGTGCTTCTTTGGAAGCACCTACACCAGGCCTGGGCCAACTTGGCCCTTCCAGGTGTTTTGGACTCCAACTTTCACCATTCCTTAAGTGGCTGAGGGGGACAAGGAAGGGTCCTGAGGCTGTTAGGAATGGTGGGAGTTGGAGTCCAAAACATCTGAGGCCTGCCAACATAGTTCCTTGCCTCTCAGAAGCATGCCATCCTACCACCATGGATAGTGCCACTGATGGAACTTCTTTGGAAGCATCTACACCAGGCCTGGGCCAACTTGGGCCCCTTCCTTTTCCCCTCAGCCGCTTAAGCCTTGCTTTTTTTGGTAGTAGTCCAGCCCCAGTGATGGGAAGAAGGGGAGTTCCCGTCTCATGCTCGAGTCAGAGGGAAGCAAAGCGAAATCGAAAGCAGGCCAGGGCAGTCGCTGTCTGGCTGAGTCTCCCAGGAGGCCGGGCTCTTGCTCCTCTCCTCCTCCTCCTCCTCCTCCTCCTCCTCTTCTCCCGCCTGGGCTTCCCCAGTTTCAGCAGGAGTCAGGCGCCCAGGCGGCCAGTCTCCGGGCGGCAGAGCAAGCGAGGAAGGGCTGCTGCTCCTCACCTGCCGCTCACCTGGCGGGCTTTGCCGCTCCCCTGCCTCCCCCTGGACTTCTTCCTCCCGGACAGGGAGCCCTGACTTCTTCGGGAGGCTCCGTTCTGGGAAGCCGGGGAGACAAGCCCCCGACCCCGAAGAGAAGGAAGAGTAAGTCAGAGAAACAAGGGACTCCAGTCTTTGCTCTCATTGCTCGGTAGTGTCTTCAGGTCCAGTTTTCGCAGGAGAGTCTTGCCTTCTGTGGCTGAGAGAGTGTGTCTTGTCTGGAGTTGCCCTTCAGTGGCAAAGCGCAGGGTTCCCAGCTTGGGGGTGATTCTGTACATTCATCACACTAGAGAAAAAATCCACTTCAAATCCAGTTTCTGCCTCCTGCACAATTCTGGGGTTTGTAGTTTAATGAGGCTGTTAAAGCCTTCTCCCTAAACTAGGTAAAGATAAAGGTTTTCCCCTGACAGTAAGTCCAGTCGTGTACGATTCTGGGGGTTGGTGCTCATCTCCTTTTCTAAGCCGAAGAGCCAGCGTTGTCCGTAAACACCTCCAAGGTCATGTGGCCAGCATGACTGCATGGAGCACCGTTATCTTCCCACTGGAGCGGTACCTATTGATCTACACACATTTGCATGTTTTTGAACTGCTAGGTTGGCAGAAGCTGGGGCTAACAGCAGGAGTTCACACCGCTTCCTTCTTCGAACCTGTAACCTTTCAGTCAACAAGTTTAGCAGCTCAGTGGTTTAACCCAATGCACCACCAGGGGCTCCCCTCCCTAAACTACAAACCCCAACATTCTGCAGGAGGCAGAAACTGGATTTTAAGTGGATTTTTTTCTCTCTTGTGTGATGAAGCCTCTGCTGAGCCTGGATTTCGGCAGTGGCCAGGGGACCTTTTGATCAATTAAAACTGCACCTGTATCTTGGGAAGTCTGACTTGGCCATGCTGGTCCACACTCTAGTTACATCCTGTATAGATTACTGCAATGTGCTCTATCTGGGGTTGCATTTGAAAACTGTTCAGAAGCTCCAACAGGTCCAGTGAGTGGCAGCCAGGTTGCTCACTGGAGCGGCACTCAGGGAGCATACAGCTCCCCTTTTGCGCCAAGTCCACTGGCTGCCAGTCTGCTACTGAGCACAATTCATTAGCCTATAAAGCCCTAAACGGTTCTGACCCAGGTTACCTGTGCAAACATATCTTCGCCTTCGAACACACTTGGAGACTAAGATCATCTGCGGAGGAATTGGGCCAAACTTCCCAAACAGAACCCCCATGAGCAATAGAAAATACCATTGCATTATGGGACTTGTAGTTTTACAGGGTCTTTGGCCTTTTCTGCCAAAGAGCGTTGATGCAAGGAGTTAGTATCACCACTGGTCTACACTCTGATGTAATTCAGTGGTAGTATAGATTGGGCCTGGGTGACAGTGGGCAATCATACTTTCTCAGGGCCCTTCCACACAACCATATAACTCAGAATATCAATAGAGAAAATCCCATAATATCTGCTTTGAACTAGGTTATCTAAGTCCACACTGCTGTTTATTCCAGTTCAAAGCAGATAATGTGGGATTTTATTCAGCTGTGTGTAAGGTGCCTCAGCATCAGAGGAAAGCAAAACTTTTCTGAACAAATATACCGCATACATACAAATTGAAAATGCAATTAAACTATCCATAAAATCTTGGGTGTCTTCAGGTGGAGGTTTTAAAGCAGAGACTGGATGGCCATCTGTCGGGAGTGCTTTGATTATGCATGGCAGAATGGGGCTGTACTGGAGGGCTCTTGTGGCCTCCTCCAACTCTGTAATTCTATGTCTTTCTGACTCATTGCAATCCTGAAATAAATCAGTCATGGGGGTTTTCAGTAAGAGTTGTTCATGGGGGATTTCTTTTTTGCTTTCCTCTCAAAGGCTGAGAGAGTGTGACTGGCCTAAGGACACCCACTGGGTTTCCAGTTTCCATATTTGGATGAGGCTTTGAATCCTTGTCTTCCAATGTAATAGTCCAGCGCTCAGACTGCTACACCCCCAGTTCAACAACAATAACAATAAGTGTCAGGCTGTTGGTATGATAATTGCTTTCTTTGATTCCTTGAAGGCATTTCATGTCAATAGGCATGCCAAGTATGGAGCGGTTTTAGGATGGATCTATACTGTAGTATTAATGAAGTTTGACACCACTTTAGCTGCCATGGTTCAGTGCCATCGCATTATGGGACTTGTAGTTTTACAGGGTCTTTAGCCTTTTCTGCCAAAGAGCGTTGGTGCAAGGAGTTGGTATCACCATTTCTGGATCTCGCTGATTTTTCTGTCTTGTAGATAATACTTTTCATGCTTTGTGTAATTGTTTCAGGTCCTTTTTTCATCCATAGTGTTACAAAAATAATTTTGAAAAGTCCTTATATTGAAGTCAAACATTTCAGCATTTTGTCTGGGCAATTCTGGGTGTTTTTTCTTTGGAGACGACAAGGAGAACATGCATTCTGTCTTACAGTGCAGTCTTAAACAAAAGTTTGGCCTATTGACTCTAGTGTATCTTATCCAAGGTGTATCTACATTACAGAACATTATAGCTTAAGCGGCTGAGGGGGAAAAGGAAGGTGCCTGAGGCTGCTAGGAATTGTGGGAGTTGAAGTCCAAAACACCTGGAGGGCCCAAGTTTGCCCATGCCTGCTATAGAATTAATGCAGTTCAGTAGTACCTTTCCTGATATGGCTCAATGTTATAGAAACATGGGAATTGTCGTTTGGTGAGGCATCAGCACTCTGGCAGAGAGGCCTAAAACACCTTGTAAAACTACAACTCCCATGATTCCTTAGCATTGTGCAATGGCAGTTGTGTCAAAGTGCATTAATTATAAGTGTAGATGTTCTCTTAATCTGCATTCTGTATTAATTCAGTTGGCTGGATAATACAACTTTTGAAACTACATTGGCTACAAAGCAGGTCAGCATGATAAATACTTCATTTTCCATGTTGCGAGGAGAAGCTGAAAGGCAACTGATTCAGACTTCCTAAGGATATGGAAAATGAGTCTGAACCAAGAATGACCCATCCTCGTCTTACTCATTAGGAAGTTTAGAAAGTCACAGTGTCTCGGTATGAAAAGTAGACCATCCCTTGTGGAATAAGGGCATATTAATGATTTCCCTGGTGGAAGGAGTTGTAAAGGAGTCTCAAAATAGTTTGTGTGAAATGCTTGGGATAATGGGTTTGTTGTGAATTTTTCGGGCTGTATGGCCATGTCCCAGAAGCACTCTCTCCTGATGTTTCACCCACATCTAAGGCAGGAATCCTCAGAGATTGTGAGGTCTGTTGTAAACTAGGAAAATGGGGTTTATATATCACCTCCCAACAAAGGATTCCCCCTGGCAGTAAGAAGCCAGACCTTGAAACTGCTAGGCCATTACATGCTAAGCAAGGTGGCCAATTGAAACATTCAAACCTACCTCAAACAGAAAAGAGTTCTTTCTTCCACGGTGGACATATAAAGCCCATTTTCCTAGTTTCCAACAGACCTCACAATCTCTGAGGATGCCTCCCATAGATGCAGGTGAAATGTCAGGAAAGGATGCTTCAGGAACATGGCCATACAGCCTGGAAAAGACACAACAACCCAGTGATTCCGACCATGAAAGCCTTCGATAATGCTTGGGATACTTAGAACTAAATAATCAATAGTAAATATTCTTGGGACCAGAGCCTTCTTGTTCTGTATATCAGTGGTTTGGCATAGTTTGCATAAACCTTGTATAAATAGTCCACAGCCAACTATTAAGTATGTAATCTGCCTGTGAACTGACTGCGTGTTCACTGTTTTTACAATACCAACATTTGCATATTTATGTGCACAAATGATCATTTGCAACTGCAAAAATGATTAAGATTATGAGGATTATATTTTTATTTAAATTCATTGGTATCCCACTTTTCTCCCAGGACTGGAACCCAAAGCGGCTCAACAGCCTTAAAAACTATAAACCGTAATAAATATGAAAATTAAATTAAATATAACAATTCTCAAAACAACAATACAAAACTGTTAGAAGCTATTCCTAAGATTGCTTAAGATTGTTTCTCAAGCTGGGGGTCAGGACCCCCAGCTTGGGCTGTGAGGACGATGTCAGAAGGGTCTCCAAAGATCAGCAGAAAACACAGTATTTGCTGTTGGTCATGGGGGTTCTGTGTGGGAAGTTTGGCTCAATTCTATTGTTAGTGGAGCCCAGAATGCTCTTTGATTGTAGGTGAACTGTAGTTCCCAGCAACTACAACTCCCAAATGCCAAGGTCTATTTTCCCCAAACTCCACCAATGTTCATATTTGGGCATATTGAGTATATCCATGCCAAGTTTGGTCCATGCCATTGCTTGAGTCCATAGTGCTCTCTGGATGTAGGTGAACTACAACTCCAAAACTGAAGCTCAGTTCCCACCAAACCCTTCTGGTATTTCCTGTTGGTCATGGGCGTTCTGTGTGCTAAGTTTGATTCAGTTCCATCATTGGTGGAGTTCAGAATGCTTTTTGATTGTAGGTCAGTGATTCTCAACCTGTGGGTCCCCAGGTGTTTTGGCCTACAACTTCCAGAAATCTCACCCAGTTTACCAGCTTTTAGGATTTCTGGGAGTTGAAGGCCAAAACTTCTGGGGACCCACAGTTTGAAAACCACTGTTGTAGGTGAATTATAAATCCCAGCAACTACAATTCCCAAATGACAAAATCATTAATTCATAACAGTAGCAAAATTACAGTTATGAAGTAGCAACTAAAACAATTTTATGGTTGGGGGTCACCAAAACATGGGGAACTGAATTAAGGGATCGATGCATTAGGAAGCTTAGGTGATTTTAATTGGCTCAGGCTCTGATGTATTGCATCTAATAAAATTGTTTCTAGTCCACAAAAAAGACCAATTGAAGTCTTAGATGTCTCAAGACTTTATATAATTTCCTTTTAATCTCTATGAAACCAGAGGAGAAAAGGGAAACGGAGAATGCTTGTTTTGGCTCTGACTTTTAAGATCAGGAGCTGCTTCATCCGAGTGTGCTTGGGAATCAAGAGTTTTGTTTCAGTCAATGTTGCATTGTCAACATTCTGTGTTCCTCCTTGCTCTGCGGTTTCCATTCTCCAAACGCTTGAAATGGAGATGGAACTGACTTGAGAG